CTTTCTTTTTGAGGCAGGGTCTCTCTACATAACCCTGGCTGTCCTGGAACATACTGTAGACCAGGTTGGCCTCAAACTCACAGAGATCTACCTGCCTCTGTGCTAGATTCAAAGGCATGTGAAGCCACACCCAGCTTAAAAAAAAAACGAACTCTTATCTGAACTACAAAGTTGGAAGATAAAAATGGCTTGAGCTCATCTTGGGATGCTATGTAAATCTGTGACTCTGAAGCAGAGCGTACCTGAACCAATACCTCTCAGACCTTTGACCTCTCAGACTTATGTTCTCTGAAAGAGTTTTAAGTATCAAGATGAGCACTACTAGCTACTCACAAGACAGATGAGCAACAGAGGGCTGGGAATGCTGGTACAGAATCAAGAGGAAAACAGAAATTAAAAACAGAGACATTTAAAAAATGTAAAAGCTGTAACAGGAGCCGGAGAGATGGCTCAGGAGGTACGGGTGTGTGTTGCTCTTACAGGGGACTAGACTCTGGTTCCCAGCACCCATACCAGACAGATCATAACTGTCTGTAAATCCAGCTCTAGGGTATCTGAGGCCTCTGGTCTCTGCAGGCACTGGTACTCATGTGCACATACCCACATGCAGACATGATACACTCATACACATGATTTAAAATAATAAAACAATTTAATGTTGAAAGCAAGACCCAAGTTGCTTAAAGACATGACAGAAAATGTGGTGAGGCCTGGAAAGTACTGAGCATTTAGCAAGCAATAGCTTTTAAATGTTTTTAAAATTTATTTTTATCGTATAAATGTTTTGCTTGCATGTATGTCTGTTTGATATATGTGTGCTTGGTCCCTGGGGAGGTCAGAAGAGGACATCAGATTCCCTGGAACTGGAGTTATAGACAGCTGTGAGCCACTATATGGGTGCTGGAAATTAAAACCAGGTCCTCTTCAAGAGCAGCCAGCAACTCTCAAGCTCTGGGCCATCTTTCTAGCCCCTGAAAACAATATTTGTTTATTTGGTTAATTGGGTTTTCAAGACAGGGTTTCTCTGTGTAACAGCTCTGGCTGTCTTGAAACTCCCTTTATAGACCGGGCTGGCATCGAACTCACAGAGATCCTCTTGCCTCTGCCTCCTGAATGCTGGGACTAAAGACATGCACCAACATCGCCTGGCAAAACAATGTTTTTAAATCATTACCCAATTTTAATTTTTTAAAAATAGATAGATCTGGAAATTAAAATGTATGTTATTGTTGTTCACTTTTGAGACAGGGTCTTGCTCTGTAGCCCGGGCTGGCTTAGAATTCATTGTGTAATAAAGGCCTCCCTCAAACATATAGCAGTCCTCCTGCCTCAGCTTCCTGAATGACCATGGGTGTGCCGCCATACCTGGCTTTGACAAGTCCTGTTCCGATCGCCCATAAGACACAGATCATAAATATAGAAGAATGAAGAGAAATAAATACTAGATTCAAGTGTGTGTGTGTGTGTGTGTGTGTGTGTGTGTGTGTGTGTGTCTGTCTGTCTGTCTGACTGACTGTCTCTGTGATGAAAGTAGAAAGGGAAATATAAGAAGGCGTGCAAAGAACAAGAGAGTCATGAAATAAAGACATTATGAAAATAGAAGAGAGCACTATGGGAAATAGAAAGGGGATCAGCAAGAGGGGAGATGGGACATGGGAGTGTGTTTTGGGTAAGGAAAGAACGCGTGTGTGTGTGTGTGTGTGTGTGTGTGTGTGTGTGTGTGTGTGTGTGTGTCTATGGAAATGTCACAGTGAAACTCGTGCCTTCTGTCTAACCAAAATAGTAATTAAAAAGAGTGATCTCAGCTCCTCAGGTGGAAGGTGGAAGGAAGGAAGAGAAGTGAGCGGTTCTGATCCTATTGTGACCGGCGCTTGCAGGAGGAGGAGAGGGAAGACAGCTTTGCCCACATACACACCTGCCAGGTTTCACTGCTTGACATTAGCCTGTCTGTACTGTCGAAATTCTTTACAGAGAGAATTTAGAGGAAACTGACCAGAAAAATAAGACATGAGATGTTACTTGTATCGGTGGTATTTTGTACTGTTTGAATACCAAGGAAGAACATATTAGTGGCAACTGATTCAAAATAGGCAAAATATTGCCTGCTGATCGTGTGAAAATGCATCTCCTGAGCTAGAGGTGTAGCTCGGTGGCAGCTCCCTGACCTAGCAATTTGATTCCCACCATGACGACGAACAAACCAGAAAAGTGAAATGCACTGAAATGTCCCTTTGCATTTCAAATCCTGTCTGGTCAAAGTGCTAGTTTTTGTTCCCTTGTTCGATTGGCTGTTTGAGATGGACTTTTATTATATGGCTGTGGCTAACCTTGAACTCTCAGCAGTCTCCCTGCCTTGGTCTCCAACGTGCTGGGATTACAGGTATGAGACACCACACTCAGCTCAAAAATGTGTTAAATCTGAAAAAAGAATATTTTCAAGACTGAAGAAGAGACCGAGGGGGCTGAGGCTAGCAACTTCGTGTGAAGGTGTCCCTGCTGAGTATTCCTTAAGTGTAATTT